CCCCGCAGCGCAGCGATTGGAAAGGAAACGGGAAGCCGCTGCTGGACCCGAGATTAGCCCGGAGGCGGTGATGTCAGCCGGCACCCCAACAGATGGGGGCCAGGGGCAGCATGGCGTGGGCCCCCCTCCTGCCCGCACACAACCCCGCAGCCCACTCCAGTGACCCCAGTGTCAAACATGCCCCGGCTGGGGGACGATGTGACCCCACATCCCCGGGATCTCCTGCTTTGCATCTCCTGGGCGCATGGATAGGTCTTTGGGCAGCTCTCGGCCCCACCACTGCCAACGGGACCCTGAGGCCAGCAGGGACATCCCCCCCCAGCAGCCTGGCTTAGCTCAAAGCCTGGCCTTCAGCAGGCATGGAGAGGTCCAGCAGCTTTCCAAGCCCAACAGCCTCCAGCTTCCCCCTCCCCACTCCTCCACCAAGACCTCCCGGGGGCTCAGCTCTCTCCCATGCCCCAGCGAACCCTCTGGGCTCAGTCCTAACCCCACATTTCCAGCTGTCCAACATGGCATTTGCCCTCTAGGTACGAGCACTGAGCATCCCCTCACCCTGTCCTGGTCCCAAGAGGTGCTCCCACCATCACCACACACGTCCCCCAGCACGGGTGGCTCAGAAGGCAGAGCAAAGGCTGGCCCAGGGTGCAGCGAAGGCTGATGGCCAGGGATGGATGGATGGATGGGTGGATGGATGGATGGATGGGCAGGTGGACGGATGGGTGGATGGGTGGACAGATGGGTGGATGGATGGATGAATGGATGGATGGATGGACAGATGGATGGATGGACGGATGGATGGATGGATGGATGGATGGGTGGGTGGGTGGATGGATGGACAGGTAGATGGATAGATAGGTGGATGGATGGATGGGTGGATGGATGGATGGATAGACAGGCAGTTGGACACATGGACTGTGAGGAACAGTGTCATCATGGGTGCTGCCCAGAAAGGGGAAGGACTGTGCAGGCCAATGTGTCGGAAGGATCCAACTTTCACTTTGATCTTCACTTCCTCCAGCCCCTGCCAGCATCTTCACGAAGCCTAATCCCCCAGCCCAAGGGGTGTTTTCTGATCCTGCCCATCTGTCTCTTCAATGGGCTGGGGCTCAGCAGAGGTGCTTGAGCAGGGAGTTCCCCCCTGCCAGGGGAACCGAGCCCCAATCCTGGCATTTAGGTGACTGGCAGGGGAGAAGGGAGCAGGGGATAAGGTTTTCTGCACCAAACTGGGCTGATGGACATGCGCTGTGGGGACCGGGCCCTTCTCTTTGTCACCCTGGACCACCAGATGGGACTGTGACGTGCCACTCTGGGTCCCTTCCACCCTCGGCCAATGTTTCCCTCCCCAGCAGCCCGCCCCAGCCCTCCCGGCACCGCTCCCAGGGGCAGTTTATGCGGGGTCTATAGAGACGCTGCAGGGTGCCAAACAGCGGCGAGCCGGGATCTGGCCCCACGCAGGAATGTGCTTCGCTGGTGCTGATGCCTCCCGCAGGGCGGGATGGAATCGATGGCACGCCGGCTGCCGCCAGCGCTACCAGCCCCTTTGCTCTGCCCCTCCAGCCGCTCACCCCGCAGACCTCAGCAACCTTCCCGTGAGCAGCGGTGCTTGCGTTTCGCCAAACAGCTTCCTCTAAGAGGCAGAGGTGGGAGCCCGGAGGGCTGGCACAGTCTGCGGTGCAGAGCCAAGGGCTCCCCATGCACCCCATCTCCACACCCCACCAACAGGGTGGTCCATGGGGCCACCCGTGCTGTCACCAGCCGCAGGGACGCATCACCCCCCCACCGGAACAGCTGGTGGGGAAGGGGGGGGGAAGGCGAAACCTGTGCCAAGCTCACACCAAGTTCTGCTTCTGCTTTGTAGGAGCAAGCCCGCGATAAGGAGAAGCTGCCTTTCCACACCTCGCTGCACGCACAGAGACTTGTACCGGGCGGCCCCCACACACCAGGGGCTCCCACCACTCCCGGCCCCCTGCAATGGCTTTTGGGGAGATCCTTGGGACAGGGAAGGACCTGCCAGAGTTGGAACAAGGGGGTCCCCAGGGAGCTGGACCCTCACAGGGCAGAGAGCCGTTATCAGCCTCAGCATCAGGAGTGGAGAAGGGCTCATGGGTGTTGTGAGATACCAGCCTCGGATATCCTCCATGTGTGAGGTTGGGCAACAGCAGAGTCGGACTAACTGCCAGCCCCACTGGGGCTCTTGCAAAAAAGTCGCGCGTTAAAGGCAGCCGGGGCAGCCCGTGGTGAACGCACAGGCTCCTTGCAGGGGAGAAACCCTCCCAGTATCCCCCTGCCACCCCAGACCCCGCTGCCTTCCTGCCCCTCGGCTCGCTCCGCATCCCCCTCGTCCTGGGGCACCGGCAGTGGGATGGGGTGCTGCCCCCCAGCATCCCTGCAGCACAGGGGAACTTTCCGTGTCCCCAACATTTCACCCAACCAGCCCCAGTGCTGGCCC